ATTTGAAAAAATAAGATAAAAGCAGAGCCCACAAACTAGCTAGGACCAGGGCATCCTGTGTGTGGCCACCAGGGGCCTCCTGCCTCTGCCCTGGTCACCTGTGTCCAATTGGGCGAGGCCCTGCCCCTCATTGAGCTGCAATCCTGTTGAGCCCGTCCAGGATGGGGTCGATTCTCCCTGCCCTCACAGCTGTGGGTCCTGTTAGGAAGGACCACATCAGACAGTACTCAGCCATGTGCACCAGCCCAGGGGAGGGGCACTGTCACTGATGTCTAACACTCATCTCACAGGAGGAGAGTATTTACAGAAGCAAAGTGTTTTTGCTTTTTTTTAATCCTCACCTGAGGGTATTTTTTCCGTTGTTTTTCAGAGAGTAGAAGGGAGAGAGAGAGAAACATCGATGTGAGGGAGATACATTGATCGATTGCCTCCTGCACACCCCCTGACCTGACTTGAACCTACAACCGAGGTACATGCCCTTGGCCGGAATCGAACCCAGGACCCTTCAGTCCGAGGGCCAACACTGTATTCACTGAGCTAAACTGGCTAGGGCCAGAAGAATTTTGACTTGGCCATTTTCCATTTTCATTCCCCTCACTTTCAGAAATATCACCGCTCTGGTGGACAGAAGTGAATTGGTGGGCTAGAATTATCTCATGGTATGGTCTTGGACAAGTTTCTCTGAACCGAGAAGAACACCTTCACCCCCAACCCCCATTGCTTGGGGGGGGGCCCAAAGGAGGTGGTGCAGGCTGGTTGTAGGGCTGGGCCATGGTGCTGCTTAGTTCAGTGAGTGTGGCGGGGCTCTCAGTGACTGAGCCCATATCCCCAGAGGGAACGTGGCCCTAGTCAAGCAGAGACATAGAGGCTGCAGATTTGGCCAGGCTTTGCCTGTACCAGCCTGACTCACACTGCGGAGGATGGGGTATAGTAAACTCTCAAACTTATGTGGCTTTTTTTTCTTAATCCTCATCAGGGGATATGTTGCTTTTTAAAAATGTTTTTATTGATTTTAGAGAGGAAGGAAGAGAGAGAGAGAAACATTGATGTGAGAAACATCGGTCAGTTGCCTCCTGTACGTGTCCCAACAGGGAATCGAACCTGAAACCTAGGTATGTGCCCTGTCCGGGAATTGAACCTGCCACCTTTTGGTGTATGGGACAATGCTCCAACTGACTGGGCCACCCTGCCAGGATGTGCCTTTTTGTGTTTGTTTGCTTTGCTTTGTTTTTAATTTTTTTATTGAGTTTTAGAGAGGAAAGGAGAGGGAGAAAGAGAAATACCGATGTAAGAGCTATCGGCTCCCTCTTGCACGCGCCCCAACCTAGGACCAAACCCGAAACCTGTGTATATGCCCTGACTGGGAATGGAACCAGCAGCCTTTCCTAACCAACTGAGTCACATGGGCCAGGGCTGTTTTGCTTTGTTTTTTATGTGGCATTTATCTGCTGTCAACATAGACTATTCAGCCTCCCCAAAGGCAGGGATTTTTTTTGTCTATCTGGTTTACTCGTGTCCTCAGTGTGTGGCGTATGTAGATGCTTAAGAATAAGGTTAGAATGAATGTGTCCATGTGCACGCATATAAAGGCACTTTCTCTTTTGCATGTTTCATACAGATCATTTAGCATAGGATTTCTCAGAGCCCCCCAGGGCGGGAGAGAGTCCTGTACTTGAGCTCTGTTATTGACACTGCTCTCCCCCACACCCCCAACAACTACATCTCTTTTTATATTCCAGGCGATAGCAGCTTCTGCCAAATCCTGTATGACCATACCACCTACCCTCCGGCCCCTCCCAGCCCCCCTGGGCCCCAGAGCCCAGAGGTGCCCCCAGCCCTCCCCAGCCTCTGCCCTGAGGTGGCCCCAGCCCGTCCCTCTGGGGTCCCTGAGCCATCACCTGCCATCGCCAAAGCCAAGGAGTTTGTGGCTGACATCTTCCGCAGGGCCAAAGAGGCCAAGGGTGGGACCTCAGAGGAAGCTCGGCCACCCTCTGGCACGGGGCCCCTGGGCAGCTGCTGCCACCCATCCCCTGAGCCTCTGGCCCCAGGTGGGGAGGTGGCACCCCGGGACAGCCCCCCTGCAGCGGAGGAGCTGGCCCCTGAGCCTGGCTATGTCAACTACACCAAGCTGTATTATGTGCTGGGGTCCGGCGAAGGGACAGAGCCAGAGGATGGTGAGCAAGGAGTCCACCCAGCAGGCAGGGCCCCGGGCATGGGAGGCTGGCCTGGAGTGGGCCTCAGGCCTCCTACCACCCCTACCCCCACTTCCTGCCCCCTCAGAGTTCGAGGATGACAAGATCTCTCTGCCCTTTGTGGTGACTGATCTCCGTGGCCGCAGTCTGAGGCCCATGCGGGAGCGGGCTTCTGTCCAGGTAGGTGGTGGCAGCAGACAGGACAAGGGGAAGCCCCAGGGAGCCTGCTGGGGTGGTCGTTGGTACAGGTCTCCCCCTGCCCCTCTGCCTGCTGCCACAGGGTCAGTACCTGACAGTGGAGCAGCTCACGCTGGACTTCGAGTATGTCATCAATGAAGTCATTCGCCATGATGCCACCTGGGGTCACCAGTTCTGTTCCTTCAGTGACTATGACATCGTCATCCTGGAGGTGGGCCCAAGAGTGGAACAAAGTGGGTCCAGGGGTTGTCTGCTCTGGGAATCACCCTCAATAGCTGTCACCATCCACCTCTCATCCCCCAGGTCTGCCCTGAAACCAACCAGGTCCTGATCAACATTGGCCTGCTGCTCCTGGCATTCCCATCCCCAACAGAGGAAGGCCAGCTCCGGTGAGTGGGCAGGGACCTTGCTCTCACCCAGCAGGGGGCCACACTGAGACCCTTCAGTGTAGGAGAGTGGGGATGTGAGAAGAATCCCCCTGCCCCCCAAACCTGGATCAGGTACTCTGTTACTGCTCCAAAGACAAAAGCTCCTGGGGCAGCTCATGGATGTGGTGGTCCCACCCCTTTCTCCTGTTTCCCCCTGTAGACCAAAGACGTATCACACCAGCCTCAAGGTGGCATGGGACCTCAACACTGGCATCTTCATGACAGTCAGTGTGGGCGATCTCACTGAGGTCAAAGGGCAGACCAGGTAAGGCTGGGCTTGGGCCCGGGCTTGGGCCCGGGCGGCCAGAGTGATGAGAGCTCTCACCCTCTTGCCCTCAGCGGCAGTGTCTGGAGCTCATACCGCAAGAGCTGTGTGGACATGGTCATGAAGTGGCTGGTGCCCGAGAGCAGCGGCCGCTATGTCAACAGGATGACTAACGAGGCACTGCACAAAGGTGGGCCCTGTGACCTAGTGATAATAGCACAGAGGTCATTATCCCAGTGCCAGGCCATGCCGAGTAGACAGAGTCCTGTGTTGCTGGACGGAGTGGAATTGGGGTGAGGGGAGGGCAGCCTAGCCAGGCATGCCTGGGGGTCAGCTCGGAGAGAGCCTGGCAGGTGTGGCACCTGGAGACCCCCCAGCCAGTTGCTCGTTCATTCAACAGACATTGGGTGGCTGCAGGTGGGAGGCAGAGTTAACACAGCAGGGTCTCTGCCTTCCAGAACTTTCTGGGCCCAAGTCAGGTCTAGAAAAGAGGCAGGTTCCTCCCACAGCTGGGCCTGCAGAGACTCCATGGTGTGTCCCAACCCTTCTCCGCAGGGTGCTCACTGAAGGTTCTGGCAGACAGCGAGCGATACACATGGATTGTGCTGTGAGGGTCTGGCCGGCCCGGACACTGACTCCAACTACCTCCGCGGCCTGGGAGCTGGCCGCCTTCCTAGCAGCCTCTTCTTGGCTAGCTGGCCGCCCAACGACCACCACTAGTGTTAGGCTGTGGGAAGGGGGCTGGGCAGGGCAGCCCCTAGTGGCCTGAGAGTCTGGATGCTTCTTATTTATGCCTATTTAAGTTGGGAAGGGGCAGAGGGAGGGTGTCCCATCCAAAAAGCCTCAGTGCCTGCCTTCATCCTGCACTGGGCATGGGCCTTTGCTCCTTGTGTATTTTCCTCCTTCCCAGGCTACAGGTGTGGACGTTCCCCCTGGGAGGCTGAATAGACCCCGATTCCTGCCCCCAGCCTCCTCCACCTAAAGTGGCAAACATTGTGGTCATCCCCTCACCCCATTATTCCTCTTCATGTAATAAATGTTTTATTTCTGAACCTCACTGAGTTCCCTTTACTGTGATCAGGGCAAGGTC